TGAAGGGGAAACACGGACAGAGTGGCGACAGGAGCAAGACTCCCTCCATCAGTTTCCAAGCTGAAGTGTTTTCATTTGCCACCAGGGGCTACCTTTTTAGGAGCTTTGCACAATTGACTTAAACTATGAGTTGTGTTTTTCATTTACAGAAAGATCATAAACATTTCTTGTAAAACACAGGATAACAAATATTTTAGACATGAAGGTCTCTGTCGCAACTACTCAGCTTTGCTGCGGTGCCATGAAATCAGCCTTAGGTAATATGTAAGTGAATGAACAGTGCACTGTCCCAATAAAACTTTATTTAAAGACACTGAATTTTGAACTTCATATCATTTCACTTTCATAAAATACTATTTTTGTGTTTATTTTTTATTCCAAATATATAAAAATTTTAAAATCATTCTTAGTTCACAGACTGTTCAAAAACAGGCAGTAGACAAGATTTTTCCCACAGACTTCGTTTGCTCGCCCCGTTTAGAGCACGTCATGGATTTTGTCACCTATTCTAACCCACATTTTGAGCTCAGACCATGATGAAGTCTCATGAATCTTTTGTCTTCCCTCTTAACATCAGAATAATAGAAAAACCTGGCCAATGTTTTGCAATTTATAAGAGCTTAGTTTTACTTCTCTACTGGTGCTTCTGCATAGAAAAACCTTAGTGATACTGCCATCCTGCTTTATTGTAGTAAAAATCCACCCAGGGAACTTACACTCCTGAACTACTTGCATTTTGAACTGAATGCAGCTTTTCGTCCTATGTAGTCAGCATCTAAACATTTGTGAGGGTGCGGGGATTAAAAATGCATTCAAACAATGTAATATAGTGGAAAGGGCAGGGCTTCAAAGCCAATGACTTGAATTTGATTCTTGTCTCTATTCCCTAGTCCTTGGGCAAATTATATCACATCACTGGGCTTCAGTTTTCTAGTGTGTCATAATAAGATAATAATAATAGGCTTTCTTTGTTGAGTTGTTGTGAGAATTGACATAATGGATGTAAAAGGTACAGCATATGCCACATGGTAAGTACATTATATTTAATTATTAATGGTAACCACATTTATATGAATATTTTTTCCTTTTTCCTTATGGCCCATAGAGAAATCTGTCTATATAATAACAGATTAAAAAAATTCTCCATGATTTATTATTTTTGACCCATAACCTGGAAGGCTGAATAACCTAGTTATTTGAAAGTTACTGGTGATCTGTATCTTCAACACTCTTGTAGAGAAAGAAGAAACTTGTTCTCCTGGGTACTAAGTCTTTTCCAGTACCTGACTGAAATAAATAGTCAAGGAATTTTGGAACATGTTCTAGTTGATTTTAGTCCCATCTGATCCTCTAGTTTCTGAGGCTTCTCATTTCTTACAACTGTGACTTTTTCATCTGCTCTTATAAGACAGTCCTTTCCCCAGTTGTAGGATCAATTTGAACCTGGAGTTGACTAACTTTTAAGGAGTTCCAAGCCACTTCCTGATTATTGGCATGGAGTATTCTAAACAATTACTCTTTCATTATTCCCCAAGCCTTTCCCCAGTAGACCCTGTTCACTTCCATCATATATACATCTGGATGACCACTTTGGTCTTCTTTCTTATTTTTTATTCTAGAAACTTCTCGAAGTGCAATATTCCTTGGGACAGAGGTCGTAATTCTTAGAAGTTTCCTTTCCAGAGTATTTGTGTCTTGCTCACGAAGTCCAGCCCTGTGGCTAGGACCCTGCCATTTGCTAACAGAACTCCCATTGCTTCTACAGGTTATCAATCCTCCAATACCTGTGGGTATTGACTGTCCCACATTTCTTCATGGCCGTGCTTCCGTTGCGTGATCTGTCACATGAGTATGGATTCCTGTTGCAGACTTCTTTGCCAGGACTGACACTTGAGTTATATCATTAGGCCGAAGTTTTCTCCTCTGTAAATCAGGCCAATAATAGTGTATTCCTCGTTGAATCAAAGTGAGAGTACATGAATTAATAAACATAAATACTTAGTGGAACACCTGCACAATCACTGATTGATAGTGCTCAGTAAATAATAGCTATTCTTCTTTTTGTTGCGGCTGTTAAAACTTTTGGAGCAGTTTTTCACACTTGTCACTCGAGTCATGTGATTATTTTGTCCCACTGGCATACTTCCTGCATGACTGTTCTTCAAAATATGTTTTATAGACTTTTAAAAATTAAATAAATATAGCCTTCTCCTAAACAATGATTAGATCCAGGTTGCTTTGAGGTGCCATCCTATTTCATTAAGATCTCATTGATTATAAGACAGCATTATTTTTTTGTAACTAAGAAAAAGCATGGTCAATTAAACTATAATCTTTCATCAATATGAAGAGGCATTCTGATACCAGAAATACTAAAGTGTCGATATATGTCTTTGGAATCATTGGATTATCAGATTTTCCTAACAGTCACTCCTTAACAAATTTTGAGCACTATACACACTATCTCTAGGAGTTCCTTGTCACTCCTGCAATTTAACAGCCACTTGCATTGTGATGACTCCCAGCTCTATATGTCTGGGACAACTTCTGCCTTGAACTTCAGAAGAGTTCTGTTTATCAACCTGCTTGACATCTCCACCGAGATACCACAAAGACATAATAAACTCACCATGTGCAAAATTAATTCCTTGCATTTTCCCTCATTTCTGTCTCCTTAGTCTCTACTGCTTGTCTTGATGAACAGCAGTGCCAGCCAATTGTTGCCCAAACGTGAAAAGTGGGTTTCACCTATGACTCCATCATTTACTTATTTCTCCATGTCATCAGTCCCAGGTAGTGTGGGGTCTCCATCTCCTCAATTTGTCTCTGATCCACCCCCTTTACAGCCTCACAACTGCATCTTCAGTTTCATTCATCCTCTTTCCTTTTGGTATTTCTGGTCTACCTTCTGAAAGAATGCCATTCCTTCAGTGTGGCTACATTTTCCTGTCACCCATTGCACACTGCTGCCTACTAGACTTACCTTCCCATTGCACATATGCTCAATTGGCTCTCCTAATAGAAATTCAGTGGTTCCCGATTACTTTCAGCATAAAGTCTAAAACCCTCAACATGCCACCCAAGGCCCCAGCATCCCTCTCACTCATTAGCCCCCGAACCCTCCACAAACTCACAAATACCACACTCTTTTCTCCAGCCAAGCCAACCTCCTCGCCTGTGCCAGAGTGAGCTGTTTTCTGTCTTGTACTCCTTTGCAGTAACTTCTCTCTCCTTTCCCACTCTTTTTTGCCCCACCCCTCTCCCTGTAGCCATCACCCCTCCTCTTTTTCCTGACTTCTCCTTCCTTTTCTCTCATTCTTTTTCTCAGCTGTTTTCACTTCTACAGAGTCCTTCCCACCCCCAAGTCTGAGATAGGCATAGCTGCTTTGTGCTTTCAGAGTCTTATATGTTTATTGTAACTTATACTATATTTCTAAGTTAGATTTGATTACTGCTTAATGTCTCCCAATACGTCTTCTTGCAGGGGGATATTTTAGTTTTGTATGACTATAAATCACTCCAAATTTACTGGTTTAAAACAACCAAGCACTTATTATTATCTCTCGTGGTTCTGTGGGTTGATGGGCTCAGTTTGGGGTCTTTCTTAGTGTGTCATTTGGATGTAGTCAGGTGAGAGTTGGGGCCAGAGTCATCTGAAGGCTGTCCTGGCCCCAACGTACAAGATACTTATTCTCGTCTCTGTTGCCTGCTGGCTGTGAGCTCAACTGGGTCTGTCTGCTAGAGCACTGACACATATTCTGTCTGTGTGTCTTGCACTTCTCTCAGCAAGGCAGCAAGTAATAGAGAAAGCCCCAAGAGTGAGCATTCTAGGAGGGAAAGGCAAGAGATACTGGTCCTCTTAGGATCTGGATTCAGAAGTTCCAGGACTTTTTCCTTCTTCTTTTAGTCAAAGCAGTCACAGAGTTCCCCCACGTTTCCGGGGAAAAGATTAGACCCCAATCATTGATGGAGTATGTCAAAATCACATAGCCCTAGAGCATGCCGGATGGGAGATGTTGCTGTGACCACCCTTGGGAACACCCCTTCCCACAGTGGGATGTCAGCTTTGAGCTCTGTCTTCCCAGAGTCAAGCACTGTGTCTGGCTCAAAGTGCGTGCTAACAGACCCTGAAACAGAGTAATACAGAGGTAAAGGTATGGCCTCTGGGGCCCGATCTGCCTGGGTGGTGTCCTGTGTGTTCCACATTCCTGGCCCTGCAATCTGGAATGAAACATGCCTCAGTGTTCATACAGATAAAATGCAGGTAGACTCTCCCTCATAGCGTGTTTGTAAGGAACACCCGGGGTAATATATGTAAAGGCCTTACGACAGTGCCTCACACATACACTTCAGAGTTAGCTACTGTAACAAGGAAGAGGGAGAGGAGAAGAAGGGTGTGCCCCTGCAGTGATTCCCCCTCCCACCCTTGTTCCAGACCTTCCCAATCTGCTCTTTCCTGTTGCAAACCAGTGGGCAGGCAACACTTGGCTGAGCCCCTAGCTGCCTTAGTAATTAAGTCCCTGGGTATGACACCCCACCTAGCATCTAAACCATACTTAATATTCCTCTAGTGACATATATAATAATGCCAAATATCTCAAGATTTGTTTGGTGCATGCTCTATTCTTATAAGTTATGTCCCCATTTCAAAGTTTATTTAGTACTCTCAAATGACTTTGAGCTTCTTCAAGGACTAAGATCCTGTTTTTATGCTGCCATGTATGACTACCATAGTACCCAGTACAGTGCCAGATCTACACTAGGAGTGGGATAAATGCTTGTAATTAATATATTGCATTATTGACAGGCTGATAATTAAGGAACATTTTTAAAGAAAAATTCTGCTTATCACAATTTAATAAAGAGAGAGTTCTTGGGATCTTCAAGGATAGAAAGAGGTCATGGGACATCACCCCTAAGAAAAGGCCAGAGTATTTAGCTTTATCTGTATGGTTTCCAAGAGAGTGGTGTCCCATTACTGGAATACCTGCTCCCGTCTGGGCTCCAGTTCCGGCTTTTTACCAAGAAAGTCATTGAATGGAAACGTAGCATTTGGCAAGGATAGCTTGACTCCTGAAACAGCACTCAACCTTGACTGGAAATCTAAATAATTTGTGTGTAAGCTTTTCCTCTAACTCAGTTTCTCCAGGAGTTGTGAACACCCTGAAGTTGTATGCCAGATTTTATGTGCATGTGTGAAAACATATTTCTTCAGAAAAAAAGCACGGTTTTCATGAGGTTCTCTGAGTACTCCCTAAGGGAAAACAAAGTTAATAACCATCGGTTACGAAAACTTGGGCATAGTCTGTTGATTCTTGACATATCCTGGAAGCTGTTTTCCTCTGACCAAAAGTTTAATGTTGTATCTACTTACTACTTCCCTCACTTTTAACATAAAACTGGAGGGCAGCATTTACAAAAATCCCATAAAATCCATAGTGGCACTTTTCTATCCTAGTGGTCTGGATTGTGGTAAACAGGAATTTATTGCAGTGTAATATTGGTCTAAAATTTGGAGCATTGGGATTTATGGGCAGGGCGTATGTCTCCAACTATACACTTCACTTTTAAAAAATTTGGGACATGAAAAAGACTGAGAGAGACCACTCTTGATCATATCAATTAAAAAATTCCTTTTTCCAATACGAACACCATATACACACATATGAGTGAGTATATATACATATATACATGTGTATATATATATATATATATATATATATATATCTCCTTCCTTTTTTCTAAAACATATATTTTCTTATGAAATGCCACAAAATTATGTATTGTTTTTTAAAGTGTCTCAGCATGTGTGATTTATAGGGAAACAGATTTATTTAAAAATGAGGACTGTAGGTTCTCCTAACTCGGAGAAAACCTTGTAATTACATACCCGCGAACCTTACCTGTATCATCTTCAAAGGCGGCATTCCTGAGGATTTTCATCCTTAATCAGCTTCTCTGGCTGAGGAACCACATAAAGTTGCAAGTCACTTCTTGAATATTTCCTTTTAATTAAGGCCAATATTTTTCATAATGGTGGCGATAATTATAGTAGGTTTTTTTCATTGAGCACCTAGCATGTGCCAGGTTCAATACTAGGTATTTTGTGTATAATGTCCAGTCCTTTAAAAGTGCCATGATATAATTAGGGTATTGCCTTCTCATTTAGGCAAGAATGGCCTTTTATTTCTTGCTTTGTAACCAACAGAAGTTGATGGCTAGTATAATAAAAAGACACACTTCTATGATAATGTCTCCTATGGGTAGTTGAAATCTCCTGTTGTTTTTTCTCCAGGGCTCATTTTCTGAACTTTTATTAAGTATCTGTTGTACAATGTTCTAGACCTGGTGGTGTCTAGAGTAAAACAGTGAGTAAGATAGGCATTGTCCCTGCCCTCAGGAACTTAATAATCTAATTGTGGTAGAACAGAGCAGGTAATGTAGGGTGAAGTTATGAATAAATGGAACATTGAAAGCTGTGAGGCTAGGTCAAAGTTATCGCATCCTACTCATTAATGGGCAATATTTTTCTTTGGACTCTTGTCACTTTTGGAGAATGTGATGCTGTCATTTCTTTTATAAAGTATGTCAGAAACAAAATCAAATCAGTGCATGCTAATTCGCTCTCAATGCTGAGCAAAAGCTTGTAAAGCAGGCACGGAGCATTGTCACTCTCTAGGCCCTGGGTTTTGCTGTGAATGCGTAGCAGGAAAGGGCCTGTAATTTCAAGGCATTCTTGCAGGTGTAGTTATCGCTGTAATAGTGCTAAATTAGAGTCATTTTTACTGTAATAAAAGACTTTTTTAAAGACATGATTGTTCCTTGGCCATGTACAAACATTCTTGCTGAATACAACATGTATGTGTTGGAGTTAGGCCTCGAGAAAACAATGAACACAGTAAGTAAGAGACAGCAAGGGATAGATGGTGAGATTAGAGATGGGTTTCTCAGATGGGGGTTCTGCAAAATTACCCAGGGTCATGCTACACATGTAGATGTCTATGTCCCATCCCACGCACTGGGCTTCCTGATGCAAAGTATGCATTTTAATGATGGGGATGATGTCCCAAACTAGACAACACGTCCCAGTAGCCCTGGAAAATTCACCATGTTGGTATGGAAACCTCATTGGACTCAGTGTCCAATGAACTAAACTTTTTGGCCCCACCAATGCAGCTAAGTAGCAGGATATTTTTGGACAAAATGATTTTAATTATCTGGCTTCTACTTCTTACTGCTCTACCTCCACCTCTTCCTCCAACTATCCCCATTAAGTTGTATCAAAGCATGACATTCTGATAAAGAAGTATGGATAATTAGGCAGTATTATGCAGAAACACAGTGTCAGATGAGGATGGATTCTTCAGGCAATCAATTAGCATTCAGTGAACACATAATATGGGAGATTTGGGAGATGTGTAAGACAAGGTCAATGTCTTCAACAGCTCACCATCTGCTTTTTGAAAATAAATCTCATTTAAGTTAGGACAAACAAAATAATGCTGAAATGCTGCAGGAGATCACTAGGTCCTCTGCTAGAGGTGTCAGATGAGATGCCGTCGGAAAAGACTTCAGATGACCCTTTACGAAAACTAAATAAAATTGTTGGCAAGTTCTAATTGAATATATGTGCAAAAGTCAAGAACACCTGTGATGTGGTTCTCAAAAGAGAAAAAAAAATGTAGTGTGACAAGAACACTCTTAAATCAGTAGACCACAGTGATAACTTTGAAAGATTATTACTCTTAACCTCCCCGGTCGTTATGTCTGTTAATGGTAAACTATACCTATGACATTTTAACTGGAAGACTATGTCCTTGGATGCAGCTGTGAGAGAGTCAATATTTACTGCTGGGCAACCAGCAAAAGAAAATAATGGAAATGTGTATCTATAGACCACTAAGGACACAGGTGGAATGGGGAAGTGAGGGAGAATATCTACTCTGGCTTATTTGGAAGGGCTGGTGGCGCCAATATTGCACTCCATAGCTCCCACCCACTCCTCTGGATTATGCTGTGGAACTTGGATTGCTGAATGCCACCGATGACTACCTTGAAGGGGTCCCTTACAGGATACTCTTATAGTCTGAGAAACTCACATGGGTAAAAATATATACTGAGTAAGAGAAGGGGATAAATCATGGCATGAGGCATCCATTGTCCAGAGGACTAGAATTTTCCTCTAGGATAGCATCCTCCTTACCTACTTGGTATTTCAGCTTTTAAGACAATTTAGTACCACACTGCTCCCACCCAGGAAATTTCGAAATGGAAATCTGGTTCGAGCACAGAACTTTGAAGGTCAAGAGAGCTGATCTGCTAATCTGAGTGATGCATGCCACAGGGACTCCCAGAAGTTTTTAAGGAGAAAGAGGCCTAAAGATCAACTCCTGATGACTCCCGTGAGAGTTAAGGTAGCTTTGCTGGGGTAGACTGCATCGTGGGTCTGAAATTATTCCCTCCTGAGTTGGAATCCCTGCTCAGCTACTATGTGAATATAGGACCTTGTACAGCTCCCCTAACTAACTTCTCTGTGAATGAGTGCTTTCATTAATCTGTAAAATTCAAATAATAGTATCTTATAGGGACATAAGTGAAAGTAAATTGCATATAGAAGGCTCATTATAAGTTAGTTGAATTAGATGTCAGACAGGGTGGAATCTCATATCTGGGAGTGTCTTTAGTGACGATCTTGTCCTTCTTTCAAGGGAGAAAAGATAAAATAGTGAAAGGGTCTGAGGCTTTACGGCATTATGGAAATTCAGTGCTGTGAAGTACTTAGGGATATTTACTGCAGTGCCCTACTGGGACAGCCTTAGGTCCATAGATATTAAGCAACCTCTGGTAGCTGCACAAATCAGAAAGTCTGGAACTGGGCTAAGTCAGAATATTTCATCCTTGTCTAATACTTTCCCCTGATTTTGTGCTCAAACCTTTATCTTGTGGTTAAATCAGCAGCAGGGGCACAGGGGTGTGGCATCCCTGATGAGTGAAGAAGAATCTAGAATTTTCCAACATTTCACTACTGCCAAAGTCAGTCACACAATGCAGGAACTCCTGGTGTCAGACAGATGAGAAATCCCCTTCCCTGCCACAAACTGATTTCCAGGTCAAACACTTGAATCGACAGTATTGGAAATCAGCCAAACTATTAAATTCACAAATGGGTTTATCCCCAGAATGTGGATAATTTTCTTTTACAGGATCATATTAGGGACAATTACACTGTAACTCAAAAACTTTGGTGTCTAGTTTATCATTAGGAAAATCAAACCATAATGCCTGGGATATAAATAAATGAAGGTCTTGCCATTTCTCATACCACAGGAGCTGATGTATTTTCAATATAGTGTTTTTAGATGAATAGCAGAGAGAATTACATATGACCTTTGACACAAAATTCCTACTATGCTGTCCATAAGGCACATTATTTATATTAGCTTTATGTCTCTGGGAACTGTCCACAGTTGTGAGACAGCGAGGGAAGCATCCTCACTTATCTGTGGGTGCCAAAAGATTTATGCTGTTTCGAGGACTCTGAGACACTGGACCCAGGGTGTCCTCCATCACTGGAGACTGGAGCAGTGATAAATGGATGACAACGCCCTAACTCCTACCAGATGCTGCGTGGCCCTAACCCAGTTGCTGGACACTTCTCTGGGCCCTTCTTGGGGCTTGAAACCATCAAGTGCTGAATTTCGTCTGCCCAGTTTGTGCTGCCTTATCCACAGTCCTGACAGAAAAGTCCACAAGCTAGAAACCACACACCCAGGCTAAGTACTGGACATGTTTCCTTATTTTACTACTTGGCCAAATGAAAGAAATACGATGCTTTGAATTTGCCCATTTCTAGCATTCCACTCCCTACATTTGCTTATAACCACAATAACTAGACATTGTTTTCTTTTTCCAGGCTTTCATCATTTTCACATTATTATAAGTTGCGACAGGAACACCAGACAATCAGATTTTACACCTGTCAGCCCCTGACATTCTATTTCCAACCTCCAGCCCTTTTACCAGCTTTCCTGCTCTCAGGGTGTCAGGCTGACGAGGCATCTATTGACTGAGCGTGAGTTCCCTGGGGCACTTTTTAGCTCTTTGTTAAAGCTGGCTCTCATCTCTTCTGGGTTCCTGGGTCGCTCTCTGCCCCTGCTAGTATTTTTTGAAAGCTGGAAGAATAACAGTTCTGAGAGCCTCTTCAGGAAAGAGCATCTGCCAAATCTTCCCTGGAGGGAAGGAGATCTCAGAAGAAAATCATCTTTGGATTCAGTGGTCATTGGGAGCATCTTAAATTTTCAAAGCCACCAAAGGTCATAATGTCACTGCATGATTCTATGCTTGTTCGGGCTCAGGTAGTGATTTCTGCCCCCCCAGACACATGATGGACAGACAATATTATCTAAATGTACTTGCTACAGTTTCACCGGAAAAGCAGGTAAAGGAAAATGGATTTCCTGGTGAATTAAGCCATTCGAAATGATAGTAAATCAGAGGTATCAATTATATACCGAAAGGTTCTTGACACTTGAGATTTTTAAGTAAGATAAAATATAGATTTGGAGATTAAATGTAGTGCCAATATTAAAATAGAATGCAAATTGTATACATTAAAGACATTAGGACAGAAAGTAAACTATCATTTACCATCTCCACCATTTCCTAAAGATGAGACATTTTTATATCACAAAAGGTAGGGAATACATAATGATAGTGTATTAAATTACATGCAGTTGGCTTTCTGAACATTGTTTCTGTCTTCCTCATTTTGCCACGGACAGCCGTGGATTGCAGGCAGATTGTGGACCTATGCTCGGGAAGCACTACTGTGTATCTTGTCCATTCACAACATAACCAAAGTCCCTGCCCTCTAAATTGAAACAGCAGCAGGATTTAGAGAATGGCCATTTTCATCTCTGCTGACTCAAGTGAAAATACACAATGACATTTTTGATTCCTTTAATTAGCGGGTAAAAAACAGATTTGGCTCTAAAGGTGTCATTTAAAATTCTCCTTTGCACTCCAATCTTTTGTTAGAACCCACCTTTACTTCCCTGAGTTCTCTTGTCCCTCCTGTACGTGGGTTTTTGAAAAAAAAAAAAAAAACAACTTTCTTGGTTAACAAAAACAAGAGAACCACCCAATCTGTTCTTACTCTTTCTACTTAAAAGCAGGTTCACATTCTGTGGAGCAGGGACCCTCATGTTCCAAATTTGTTGTTTTTCCCTTTAGAGGAATGTAGAGTTGCTATCTAAACAGCCCGGCTGGGCTAAAGGGCAATCTTACAGCTAGAACTTGGCTGAGTGCTTTGAAAATTTCCTCCTTCTTGATTTTCTCAGCGGGTTGCCATTTCCCCTGTACCAGCCAGCTTTCCTGGGGGAAGAGCACCTGACCTTGCAGGAATTATAAAACCCAAAGGGCTACAGATAATTTCTTTCAACTAGTCGAGCCTCTTTATAGTCTTTTTATTAGGATCTGTTCTTCCAAAAAAATCATATTTTGCAATGTTTCATTTGGCAGAAAATAGGTATTCCAGATTTGTTACAAATTACCCATGAAGACAAACATACCGAAAGGCATTTTGTTTGAGATGCTACCTTTCCCGTTTCTCTTCTTGGGCTGGTGTCTATAGGAGACCAGGGAGCTGAGTAAAGGTTCCAGCACTAGCTATGGAGTCCCAGAACCCAGGAGGTTGACTCATTTTAAAAGATGTCTTTATTATTCTTGTGGCTAGTGCATTGGAATCACTGCCACTGGATCTCAGAATGTGAGGTGAATGCTCTTAAAAATGCATCAGTGGAAACTTTCGAGTTTCCAATTTAAAAGAAAACAAAGGCTAAAATGAGGAGTGGTAAGGTACGTTCTCACACACGAAGATTTTCATTTTTGTACCACATTTGTTCTTCATTAGAAAGCAAATGACCTTAGCTGATAAGGTGGTTCATGTTTATGCTTTGCATCTGTTCTTTGAATGAGTTTTGCGGGATCTTCAAGCAGGATCTCAGATTATGTCACAGAATAGAGCCACCCATCAAGGGCCCTGACATAGGACCTGTGCTCTTGTTATAACTTAGCACTGTCATTGTAACTCAGGAAGGTGGATAGGGGGTGAAATACGAAATTTCAGTCCTTAGATATCACACCCCAAATTATGCAAACCATGGCTAAGTTAACACACCCTCTTTCTGTTAGTAAATGCTTCCTTCCTCCTTTGCATTCACTCCATTCATGGTGCAGAATGTTGCAGGTGAAATTCTGAAATCATCATGTAGGCTGCCCAGGGTATCTCTATGCTTGGAAATGAAGTCCATAATTATAAAACTAACAATGGGCATGTGTTGAGTGCTTTTTAGGTGCCAGGCGCTCAACTCAGTACTTCCTGAGCATTAAATGAATTAACTCTCACAATTCTACTATCAGTATCTCCCTTTTACACATGAGGAAACTGAGGTTCAGAGGAATTGATATCATGGGATTATTCTTCACCTAGGAGAAAGACCAAAAGCAATTCTGAAATACGTATTTTTGACTTCTGTACTCGAGATGAGGGTCTGCAGAATTTACATGTATAAGCACAAATCTACAGTCACACCATTTTTTCCAGGTATTTCCTGAATGCTACTGGGAGCACAGGAAATGGGTGGGGAAATAGAGAGCCCGGGAGACAGAGAACATGCCGGCCTCAGCGTTCTCGGTGTCCACACCTACTGCCCGCATCCCTGCGCCTCCCCTGCAGCTCCTCGGGGCTCTTCCCCTCCTTCCGCAACTCCTCTTAGCCTCCTTCCTCAGCCTGACTTCTTCCAGGGGACCTCCCTGTTGTGCAAACTCAATTCTTTCTCTGCTTTGCATCCTCCTTCTTCTCACTATAACCTAAATCTGCACTTGAAATGTGGCTTCAGAAATGGGTTTTTATTTACTTACCGTCACTTCTAGTTTCTCAGTTGGAAAATATGCTTCTTAAAAGCAGTGTTGAGATCTTCAGTTTCCATTGCCTTCCCCTTGACCCTGACCACACGCTCTCTAATGTTTAGCCCTGGGCTTAGAGTAGCAATTGTGAAATATGTACTTTTGTCACGTGATCATTTTAAGTCTTAACCAAAGGGAAGGGACTTGAATTTTGGCAAAATGCATGTAAGTTGTAACTTTCCCGTTGGAAGTGTAAGGCAATATGTGTTATGGAAGATCTTTTAGAGAAGACAGGAGACATTCTGGACTTTTGTGGAAATTCTACCAAAAGGCGGAATATTCTCCACCCAACAAAGAATGCAGGGTTTTCTTGTTCAGAGACACATGGAAAATCAACTTGTACAAAGCCATTAAACCAACATGAATTGAAATTTTAGAAACTTCTGTGCTGAGGTCTATCTATCACTTTGTGAATTTAGATAACACATTATTGTTTTAATCTTGCTGTTTTGTGTGAAAAATCTAGGCAAATTTAAACAACATTCTACTCTTATCTCCTTTTTGGCTCATGACTAAAAAATAAAGTTTTTTTTTAAAGAAAAAAAATCTCCATTCTATCAGGACCTGTGCCAACAGAAAAATACTCAAAAAAGAAATATCAACATCATGAAATATTGAAAGAGGCATTTTATATTTTTGGAGAAGTGTTAAAGCACATGTTTTACTTCTAAATAAAGTTGAGCCAGGGCTCATGCAATTAATCTGCTGAGTTTCCTGAAGATATCCTCTAATATCTGGGGAGTCAAAAAGTATTTCCTGTACCAAAAGCATTTTTAATAGCTCTTCTCATGAACAAAGAATGGTCACCCTTATTTCCCAGTTCAATGTGCCAAAATAGCTGGGAAAGTTCTTTCTCCTTGTTTCAGCACTAAGTCAAGATTTGAAAAATGGAGACCTTTTTTTTTTTTTTTAATCAAAGGATTAATATCCAGGTCATGGGTAATAGAAATCTCACCAGGTTTGGTGCATTGGGCTTATGAAATTGAAACAAGTGGCTCTATTTATTATTAATAAAAATATATGGTTGTGTTTAAACTAAATATCAAAGTCCTAGTTGAGTCTTAGGGATCATGATATAAGGCCCCCTCGCTGCCCTTTTATGATTTTCTGCAGAGCTCTTCACATAATTTATAGCGTTGTAATCAGTGGGGTCCCATAGATCAAGGTGTAAGCAGAGTAAAATACGTTTTGTTAAACAAAAATTGTGAAACACTTCATTGTGGAGTATAAATTACTATTTCTTTTTTACTTTTCTTGTTTCAGATTTATAGCATTTATCTGACACCCATTTTTTCATGCAGAAGAAAATCCAATTACTTACCTTTATTAAATAGAGAGCAACGGTTTAAAAATATTATTACTGGATGTTAAATCCTTGAACCCAACACTAAAGTTGTCCTTGGGCAATGTGGTGTCAGTTGGTTGTTAGTACATATAACAGTTATTTTTCCACAATGTATTTCTACAGAAATTGGCAAGGTAACAAGTATCATTTAGTGAATGCATTACAGAGCTAAATAGTTAACTTTCTTTTATTGCAAAGGGAACTGGATACTACAAATAACAAACTTTTGGCTATAAACCTATTACTTTAAAATGCTACAGCAAACTAGATAGATGAATAGATAACAGACAGACAGACACACACCAAGTTTAGAAAAATTCTTGGTCTGGTTTTTCCCATATTTATCAAACTTTATTTAGATTCGTTAAAAATCTGGTAAATTATTTGTGTGATGCTCTGCATTATTGGATCCAAATGTTCAGAGATGTAATTAATTTTAGGCTTCGCGAACATAAATCTTGAAAACATGAAAGGAGTATTTTCTTGTTAATCCTGCATTCTGGATCTCATCCTAACATGGGATGCTACAGTGACACTAACTTGAACGGGTGCCACTGGTTGGAGAGTTAGATAAGAAACTGGAGAAGAGAAATCGACAAAGACATTTTCATTGCCATAAACTAATATTTAAGCGTTGGCTATGAAGAGACTGAAACGTATGAGGGTGAAAGAAACCTAACACTCTAAAAAAGAATCAAGGTACTCTCAGTTACTTCTGAATCATGTCACACTCTTAATCAATATTGATACTACACACATCAAACCAGCATTTGTATGTCTGTATGCTCTGCAAGACTAAGTATTTTACTGGCATTATCTCATTGAATCCTAGTAAATCATTCTCTGAAACAAATATTCTTATCCCATTTTCCAGATGAGGGAACTAAGTCTTAAATGACCATAAATTGCTCCTTGGAATCCGACTGCTGAATGGAGAAGCCCAAAATTGTCCCTCGTCAGAACCCAAGTTGTTAATTCCTGCCTTGTGACATCCTTAGCCCCTGAGCTTCCTCCTCACACAATTCTGTTAACTGGCATTTCCCCCCAAAGTTTCTAATAAACAAAAGGAATTCCACTTTTGTTAAGGCTTTTAGAAATTCACCCAAGTGTCTTTGTATCTTTCAACTGAACAATACCTGTTAATGGTTAACATTAGTTTTCTTTCTTTTGAGAAGATAAGCTGATCCCTATGGATCAAACTTGCCAAAACTTGCATAAGTTCAGTTAAATTTTTCTTAGAAGAGCTTGAAGGTAAATTGGAGTCAAGTGGAATCTTGGGTCAGTTTTATAAGAAAGGACAGTAAGGAACTACGAATCAATTATTCACTATCCTTCCATTCCAGCCACTGTGCTGGGTGCTGTGGATCATTTAATCTGCAGAAGAAGTTGGTTAGAAAGACTTCATGAACCCCATGTAAGGGAAAACTGACATTCAGAAAAATAAGCTAGACGCTTACTTAGTTAAATGAGGCTCAACCCAGATCATCTGACAATGAGGCTTCTCTGTATCATGTTCTCCTTCAAAGCAAACCACAGACACCTATAACACTGATTATCTTTTTCTTTCCTCAGACATTTCCAGTATCTTGTCAATCCACTCTGCACATCAGCACTGCAATCTTGCTTTCTTAACGGGCAGAGGAAAATATCAGGACTTTATTATGAGGGAAGGATAATAATGCTTGAAAATAATGCATCCAGAATTAATTTCACCAAACAAACATGATTTGGTGGACAGGAATGAAAGTTATTAAAGGTATACAGACCTGACTGAATAGAACGTTGGAAAGATAGAAGCCTATTTTATAATTAAGCCATAATGCTGTGATTCATGGTCCAACAATTTAGTGAGAACTGAAATGCAACATGTACCAAAATGGATCTTTTTTCCCAGTGCTTTAGCTTATGATATTTCAGTGTTATTTAAGATAGAGGTAGTGAAAGAAAATGAACAGAAATGCAAATATACTTCATAATGATTGTTTCTCTTTTCCTTCATATAGTTTCAGCCTGTTTGTAAAACAACAAAATTTCATGAATTAACACAGTCATAAAAACCACCATTTGTCATTGCGTTTTTCCCGGGCGCTGTTTCTATAGAGTTGCGCAATGTGAAATTTTTGCACAGCATTACTCAGCCAGGACTGTCAGCCGCTGATCACCAAGCATTGGCGGTGTCTGTTACAACTTGATCAGTGTATAAGTCCTGTGAATGAAGATGTATAATGCATGCAATATAAAAAAGATGTACCGTCTGAGATAAAATACATTTGCTTCTCACTTCTGCTGTTGGTAATAGTGTTTAGTCTGTCTTCCGGTTATTTAAATCAGTGCCCAGAGGCACAGAATAGTGAGGTATTTCCTTACATTAGAAAGAATGCCCCCAAAGCATTTGTCTTTTTTGCCTCTGTGGCTTTCACTATTTAATCATCTTTGTTAAAGAAAAAGTTACTATGCATCATGCCAGTGGATACTAGAATTATCAGGGGGATCACTTTATAAATTATATACTTGTCTAATGAGGGTGATGTATACCTTAAAGTAATATAAAATAATATTAAATGTCAGCTGTAATTGAAAAAAGAAAATTTAGAAAAATAATAATTTACTTTAAAAGGAGGTAGCACCAAATGCATTGGTTTATAAGATGCCTATAGGAGCCATTAAAGATATCTCAGATTTATGAAATTATTGTTTCCGGAGTAAGCATGAGTCCTATTTACCTCAAATATCATTCTCCTCTCTGCCAGGAACTCTGACAAGCTGAATAAATATATGAAAGGGGAATCGTGGAAGTGGGCAGACAGACTGGTGACTCATGATGGGGTCAGAGCCTTTGCTATTTGCTTAGAAACAGATCTCCTTCCCCGGCTGCCATGGGGAGGAAGTGATGATGGAGAACGGTTAGTTTCAGAGCAACGTGGTCCGGGCAGCTGGGAGGTCAGGGGTTAAACATGTGCTATCTCAGCTATGCTGGGTGCAATAACAACATCAGGCAGCAGGAGAACGATCTCTCAGGGCAATTAGTCAAACTGGCCTTGTGGTAGCCCAGATAGTCCTGGCTCTGTTTGCATCTGTTAATCAGTTTGAGATAAGAACCCTTGAGAACCTTTTTGTTACCTTGAGAAAGGGGACACCTGGAAGGTAAACAGAAGACAGGGGGTGTCTTTAATGTTGATTTTTAAAAATGACTACAGCTCCCAGATGGGATTAAATAATTTTTATTTCTGGCTGTTGAAAAGAAGATGAAGAAGAATTTCTTTGCTTTTTTTCCCCTCCACCTACTTCTTAGGCTGTTCTCCCAAGAGCAGAGATGACAGAATGAACTTCATTTGATCCAGTGTGGAACTTGGCCCAGACACCCTAGGAAGTGGGGAAGATAGTTTGGGTTCTGGTGGATTTAAGTTTTCTCCAAGGTTTTTCTGTAAATGCCACATTTTGTTAGTCCGTAAACTGACGTAGACAGTCAAACATTTATTTTTCTTGGTCCAGGTTGACCTGATTTAACAGTTTTTTCTGTTCTTCTATTGCAGACTCCTAGGGGAGACTGAGACAACCTTCCGTTTGTCCTGATACTATCCTGGCAAGTCACACAAGAGTCAGAAGATTATGAGGAGTTTTCGCAGCTACCTGTGACGAATTTTAATCATAGTAAAAAGTCAGAATTGGAAGCTTTCAAGATGGTTGTTGAAGATTTATC